TCTTTTCCGAATCGATTCAGAAGCTCTGAATCGATTCGGAAAGCCTAAAGCTTTGGATTTGTAGATTCAGTATCCAAATCATCTCTGAATCCGAATCCCAATCTGAAGCTTTGCACAACACTACTGCCTACCCAACTAGTCAACACATAAGCCCATACTTTCTCAAAATTATTCGTGTTTATTTTTTTTTTTTAAAGACAGGGAATGTTCTATCTAGTTCAGTGTTACAATAAAAGTTTAAGTCTCTGCAGATTGTTTCCATTTGAAAGCCCTCAAGGCTTCAAAAATAAACTTTTCCAGAACCAAACAGGTTCACTCTGTAACCACTATTATGCTCCAGGACGGCAAAGAACATTTGCAGCCACCAGTCTGAAATCCTACAGCATTTGCATCTCTTCTGGATAATGATGGTGCTGATGATGCTTACCAACCTTTCAATTTTAGTGTAGATGGGGGCTTTTTACCTAAGCTAATGGTTCTTGTCCTTTCTAAACTCCAGGCATCCCTGAGAAAATGCCAGCTCTTAGCTTTCACTCATTTCTTGACTAGGGGAAAAAGAGCAATTATTTTGTTCAGAAAGACCACAACAGCTCAAAATGGTTTGGACACTCTGGGTTCCTATTTGAAATCTCTGGAATTAACTTGTGAACCACTGTAGTGGCACTTTTACACCTAACATGGCCATAGTACTCTGGTTAAGAGTCACTTATCTAAGCATTTGGGAAACATGGATTGCTTGAGCTCAGTAAGCATCTTTGCGACTGCTGTAGGTTTTTGTCATCTTCCTTGTAGGGTGCAGGATACTGCTGTACAAGAAGGAAAATGTTGTGCCCAAGAGAGCAAGTCGGGAGCAGAGCTGGGAACCAAACGTATCTCCTGACTCAGTTCTAGGCTTCAAATGCCAGATCACACTCTCATCCCTAGAGGAAGGAAGTCATGTATATAAAAATGTTGGTAGAACCCCTGGTACCTACCTTACCTTCTGAAGCAAAGTAGATCAGCTATACATAGTTGCTTTACCATTAATATGACATCACTAGTGGAGCAGGGGGAAGGAAAAGTAACTTGTAAAGGTGAGGATAAATGAAGTGTCAGGGGTTCATTAACATCCAAGCATCAAAAGACAAGACTTTGGTTCATAAAACCTAATCTAAAAGATTGCATACCTAGATAACTCAAAAGCACGAGGCTCTCAGCTGGGGAGGGGGAGGTCACGCAAATATTAGATGACCACCTGGTCTGTTTTTTAAGCATGTCTTTTATTTGATTATCAGATTTTTTAAAACCTGTTTTCAGATCACACAATGTTTCATGTTGCCATTTGGTACTGTAGTGCAGTGCTGTGGCCTTGGCCACCTTACTGAAACCATCCTAGGAGGACCCAAGGCTCAGCACTGCATACATGGACATATTTTTGGCTGCCAGATCCCAACCAACAGCAAATACTAGTGTTTTTTCTTAAAGAAATATTAGAATGATGGCAAGAACCCCAGGGTCAATTATGTTGGGGCGTTAGGGTGACCACCCCTCCATTATTGAGTGGAAATAAAAACATCAAGCCCTGGCCCCGAGCTGAATGACTCCAGGACAGCGCTTGTCTTGAATTCCCCTGCACACAGTCAACTATCGTCCCAGTATGTGCAGGGATCCCGGTTTTCTGCTCACCGTGAGAAAACTGCAGGAAACTGCAGGTTTCCCCTTGCAAGCTGGCAGGGTTCCTGCCTGCAAAGGGGGCTGAGGGGAGTGGGACACAGCAGGCACTATTTGCATGTGTGCGTGTGCACAAATGTGTGTGATCAGGAACACAGCCCCAGGCAGAGGTGGACAGCAGCTGCCCCAGCTGCCTGCAGATAAATCTAGCGGGGAAGAGGGGCATTGGTGACAGAGGGAAGACAGAGGTGAGGGAGGGAGTGGGGCAGGGTAGGTGGCTGGGGCTGGGGGTGTTGTGCAGCCAGCATGGGGCTTGGGGCCAGGATGGGAATGCGCAGCCACGGGGCCTGGCCAGGGAGCGGGACAGAGCCACAGGCAGCTCGTCCAAGGGGGCATGTGTCCCTGCTTTTGCCTTGTGAAAAGGTGGTTACCCCATGGGGAGTGGCTGACTGCAAGACATGCAGGACTTGATGGATCAAGGCCTTGATTCATCAGTCCATCTCTTCAGCAAAATATATGCCTAAGTGTAAGTCTACATTTAAGTCATTGGCTTCCATGGGCATGAGTGGATGTTCAGAATTAAATGGACCTGAAATGCTTGGCAGAAGCAAGGCGTAGATGGACTTCTGTCCTGGCTTGGCAGGAAGGTAGGTTTTCACAGAAGCACGTTCTCCATTTGCATTCAGCTTTATGAGCTTGGTTCAAGGCCCGTTGAAAGTCCATGGGATGCTGCCCAGTGACTTCATTCCATGTCGCATTAGGCCCTGCAATCTTGATTTGGGTTTGTCTTTGTTTCCTAAAGATTTCCCATGGCAAAAAAAAGAAAAGAAAATGAACCCCAGAGAACGTTTCTACTTTGGGCCATAATGACAAACCCCGACACTAGCAGGAAGTAACAGAGGTGATCTGAATGCGATGGGACCTCATAAATTGTGTGTGGGAAAGGTTCCCCTTCCTTTCCTCTAACTGATGACGTGCCAAGTTTATTCTCCAGTATTTACAGTGAGATTTGTTTGTTTTGATACCCTTTACATGTTATCAGGGAAAAGACAAAGAAGAGCCCCAGGAAGTTTATACTTTGTGATGAGGCCAGTAAAATTTGGGCTTTAATTTTCTTTCTAGTCCTATATGTTTTCATTGAAACTTAATATATTAAGGGGATGTGAGATTGCAATCAAAGCAGTTACTGCTCTAGCTGTCGCTTATTTTTATGTATGAATTTAGTGCTAATGAAAGGTACCAGACTAACAACCTTGGGGTTGAAATCCTTGGCTTATTCACTGATCAAGGAAGAATAGCACAAGTTTTTTACATAATGCATCTCATCTCTGGTCCAAAGAGATCACCTCTGGCGCCAGAAGGGAGTCAGTCTCTAGCCCAGGCAGTCTTTGGACGAGACTGATAATGATGGGGATCTATGAATGGAGTCCAAATATCCTTGCTCTTAGAAAAGTAGCTTCAAGGCAGAGAGAAAAGCGATGGGGAAACCTCAAGAGAGAGGACCAGGATGATATTTCCCAAATTATTTCATTGGAAGAAATATATAAAGAATCTTTGAACACTCAAAGCCACAATGGCCATGTCCAGACAAGCACGGCAGTGCAGTATGTGGCACCGCAGACACGTCCGCGGTGTCGCATATGGCACGTTCAGCTGTTCTCCATGCTTCAAGGGAGCAATGCTGCGGAGGGAAGGGGGAGTTGACCCCTGGATATCCAGAGGTCCAAAAACCCCATGCAAAAAAAAAGGTGGAGCAGCGCACACGGGGACAGTGTGCAGTGCTTAAAATTTGGGCCTGGTTGGCTAGAGCCACACTGCAGCTGCCGGCCAGGCTCCAAGTGGCAGGATCGCTGCTGCTGCATCCCGGGAAGGCCCCCAGATAAGGCTGCTGGGGCCAGCCCACTGCTGGACCCAGCCCTTGAACATGCTCTGGCATGAGACTGGAGGAGGACAAAAAAGGCAAAAAGGGTACAATTTGTGTAATATGCCAAATATCATCCAATTGGCACTAGATTCAGGTGTTTCTACTACCTACTTCCTAGTTTTCACAGTAATATATTTAGGTGGACACCGGGCAACTGTTCTAAGCTGGGAAGGGCTGTTAGCTAGTAGCTGTCACGTTTTTGAGTCTTGGAGCAGGAAAAATGAATGACATTTGCTCCTAAAGAGCTTGCTCTCCTTGCCGTTCCCTCCTGAGCTAAAGTGTACCACCTTTGCCTTCCTCACAAGGTTTTTCATTCTAGTTTTACTTTTGAATTTTTCTTGCAATAAATGTGACATTAGCTGATTTGCACAAGACAGGAGCTGGATGGCAGGGGGTCCTCTTTCAAGTGGCAAGGTAATAAGTGCAAGTGGATATTCTATGATTCCCAAGTTTGAGAACTAGGTTAACCCCACATGTTGAGGTACAAACAGTAATTTTGAAACCGGAGTACATTTCACCCAACATCAACAGGCAACTTCATAACTCCTGCATCTTTGCTAACGGTATTCTTAATGCTTAGCACATATGTCACGTTTCTCTCATTTGACCAGCTCATGCTTACAACACCCTGGGATTCCTTCAACGTTTCTCTCATTGGCCCATCAATCCTTACAACATCCTGGGATGATTAGTACCGCTTTCCAAATGGGGAATCCAGTGCAGTAAGTGGTCAAATGACATGGCCAAGGCTGCACACAGGTACCTTCTCAGGCAGCATTTGCTTTCTGAGGTGTTTTTGGATCTGTTAGGATGAACAGACAGCTGGCTGCCTGTCATTCCTAATTTTTTATAACAGGCTGGACAAATATCTTCCAGGAATAGTTTAGGTTGAGCTTACCCTGCCTTGGGACAGGACAACGAAGTTGATGACCTCTTAAGATCCCTTCCAGTCTTACATTCTATCGTTCTGTGATTATAAGACAAGTCAGCAACCACCTTTTTTGAGGAGGGGAACAATTTTGCCCAGCAGCTTTGACATTTTATATAGCATTTCCAGATGTTCTGGTTCCCATTTGCTTGTCCCCTTTCACACGGGCTTTATTGAATGAGTATAGCAGGAGGATGGACATGTCTCCAGGGAGACGGTGCTGAATTCTCAAGTAGATATGATCTCAT